CAATTCAGCCTTGTATGGAAGGTAAGGAGCACGATGACTGAAACGACAAATGGTTGCCTTGGGTAGGAACTAAAGGCAAGTGAAAGTAACAAAATCAGTTCAAAGCAGTATAAAGAGTAGACCTTTGTTTTCATGGAACATAAGAAAATTACCTAATCTGTGTGGTTAAGTGATCTATTCGGCACGAAGCCGCTGAAGCTGTAAACGAAGGATGTGCAGGAAGAGGAAAGAGAAAACATCGCCCGATTACGTAACTGAGTTCGGCTACTGCACGGAAGTACATTATTAGTTCCGAAAGACGATGAGCTAGTCGCTGAAACACAGCACAGGTTTCCCACACAAAATGCTTAATAATTTCCACATGAGAAAAAATGAATCTACAAATCTTACGGGAAACATGTAGGCGCGCTTTAGGATTCCACGGCTAAGCTCAGTTAAGGTGAAAATCGGTGGTATTACGTTGAGATCCGGGTCCAGAATCTTTAGAAGAATCTAAATATTTGGAAGAGAATTAGTAGCAAAAACTCAATATGAAACTTAATAAATAGTAACACACCCTTTCGGCAGGCAATAGTTGTCGCCGTTGCTCAGGAGATAACTGGGCTGGTATACTGTTGAATTGCTGATATATCAGACATCTGAACATTGAGGCTCAGCAGAACAAACTTAAATTCTTTCCTCACTAGAATTGAACCAACCAGCAATGTAATCCACTCTAGCAATATTACTAGAGCTGCTGAAGGAAAGTTATATCCTGAGATTAACTCACTTAAACAGACTTCGAACACCTTTGTAGTCCATGAGCGGGATATTTTCCTCAATGAAAATCCACTTTTGCGGATCCATAATAGTTCGCAGGGTGAAATCCGCAGTAAGGGCCAATCCTTCTACACACATGCTAGAATAATTACTTTTACCGTTTTATTCACGACTAGTAGAGGACAAGGCAAGAATTTCCAGCGCTCAGCAAGATTGAGGGTACTGTTACCGTATAAAATTGAATTCTCCTGAGCGCCAAGAGGAACTGTATTAGCTACGGAAAGCGGCCGTTCAAGTTAATGCATCCAACCCCTCAATACGAATACTGGGCAGCCGAACATTCTCGTTATTTCACTAATACTGCTAATATTGTAAAGTAAGTCGTTATGGAGCAGGGTCAACCGTCCTTTTGCACTATTCGAAAGAGGAGAGTCGCATTTGTGATTTCGGGAAAGGGGTCGCATTTTGGGGTTGAGCAAGGTTATCATAGTGGGAACGGAGGTTGACGGAGGTCGTAAAGGGGTTGTGTTTGGACGGGTTTTTTGACGAATTTGGTGAAAGTTTTACGAAAGTAGTGAGAATTAGGCAAAATTGGTGGATTTGCCGCTTCATGATACCAATTTACCTCCTCCCAGCTCGAAGATCGTTTTGGAGAAAGAAAAGGGCGGAGTTGGGTGTGTGGCTGGTCTCAGAATCAAAGTAGAAACAGGAAACAGTGATGGTGGTGATCGGAGTAGGGGAAAGGGAATCGTATTTGGGGAAGCTTCTAAGACTGATGGTGGGGGTGGGGACCCCCCCCCCGAGGAGGAGGGGGTCGTAAAATTTTTGAAAAGGTGCGAACGTGACGGTTGACCCTGTTATGGAATTATCGTAGAAGACACAGACATAATCACAGCACAATTCTATGAGCGGCGTTTCACCTCCGCCGCGTAAAACGCTTTCCCCCCCTCCCATCGCCGCGCGTAAGAGACAAAACTCCCTTGATGGAACGACCCGCGGCCGGGCGTAGCTAGTATGAGGATGGGCGTCGCAACCGCTCCGTAACAGCTGCTCCTCACTAGGATGCTTCGTGCACAATAGTAACGAGCTCCATGAGCAAGACACCTCGTTCCTTCTGCAAGAGAAATCTAATCCAAACACTTCCTTTACGAGTCACTATTACCTTTTTCTTGAACTGACATTTTCACCACTAAAATTGCAGAACGCCGTGGAGACAAGCGCGGGGGCGACCCGCAGCTTCCGCCGATGCCCAACTGGTGTTCCCACGCAGGCGTGGTTCTCACGAGCAAGTTAGTGCGCCGAACGATCCCGACAAGGGAGTGTAAGTCGGCCGGCTCGTCTTCGAGGGCGCCCACCCAATCCATGAAACACCTACTGGGCTCTTCAGGAGACACTCATCGGCTCCCATAGGCAGACCACGCCCATCGGTTACTTATGTACTTATTCAAAGCACTCATGCGAACGTCGTATCTAACCGGCCTTGCAGGCGAGCCACTCACTGCCTTCGCCTGCCTCGTGGACTTTTAGGACGCTCGCTTCAACCCTCCTCAACGGTCCCTGACCACCGAACCTCTGTCACCCGCCTCCTGGCCTTGACCTGACCCTTTCCACAGGACACAACATGGACCTGCAGCACAGCCTGACATCCGTAGCACCAACAGGCCGGAATATTGCATTCACAATGCCATATCGATTTTTCTAAGTCTGATGCATCGGTAGCAGAACGTACGGCACTAGACTCGCACCCCGGCCATTGCCAATCTGCTGGTTCTTTAACTCTTCCGAGCTCCTAGATATCGTCAATTGGCCACTCCCCCGGCTGATTTTCGCGAACTCAAACTTAGTACTTTTTCGCCATAGCAGAACTTCACTCCTATAGTAGAGACACATTCCACACGCGGATAATCAAGTCTGCTATTAGTTTTCACGTGGATGACTCTTTTTTTGTAGGTCACCGCTACAAGGCACACACGAAGCCATTTTAAGGAGTTTAGGCTTATTGAGGGAGCCTCCCTACTGAGCGCGACCATCATCTCTACCTTTACTCTTAGCATGCGGATACTAGGAATTATTCACGTGGTCATGCAAAGGAGGGGGCGGAGCCAGTAAGCCTTTCGAACCTCATCGCCATTTTTGCTAAGAAGAACCACAGCCTGAACGCCGAGCATCTCATCAAAATCCTTATTTGCCGTTGCATTTGCCAAAAAACCACTTCAAGAAAATTTTCATGCTGAAAAATTCGACGGTTGGAGACACTCGTTCACAAAATTAACAAGTCAAAGAGTTTCATACCACGAATTCAATGATGCATCGTCGTAAGCGTTCGATATCCACGGTCTCTGTGGCGCCCTCATCGCCTTCTTTGCAGAAGTGACTTGTCACTTGTCGTCCTTTGTCCATCCGACGGCTGTCCGGCCGTAGCCGACATTGCAATATTTGTAGTGCTCTACTAAAGTTATCAATTAATAATTACAATAGAGCCATGAAACCACGACAACACATCGCCTTTGTCGTCTTTCTATGAAAAAGAGGCCCTTCCGAGTAGCGTGGATTACTACTCGGCATGGATGGACCGACTGAACGCTATAACTCAACTTTGTCGACAGGACGAATGCCACGAAGGATACAAATGGCTGGTGACAGCCAGTTTGCTAGGACGCTCCACACCAACAGGAGGCAAGAACTGACGCACCTTTCCTTACTGTTCGCCTAGAAGTTCAAACTTTTTTTAAAGCGCTCGGTTGCTCAAATCGCAAAATTGTTTGTTCCCAAGAGTAACCCCATTTTATGGAAAGCTCTAGGTTGGATAAGCCAGCTTGTCTATGCGAGAAGGGACTGGCTGAATATGAAAATGAAACTGTTTTCCATGACAGTGAACCCCTTAAATGCTCTGCAGCGACGGTATCCCCCAACCCCACTTGAGCCAGAAGAATTCTGTTGTGCTCCAAAGACGCTGAGCGAGAACACTATGAAACAGAGCCTAAACTGACTGAGGGAAAAGCCACCTTGTCAGCAAAGGCTCACTCAGCCACCGGAATTGAGCAAAAGAGACCTCAAAAATCAAAAAAGTTCACCGCGCCATCGTCTTCAAGCGTCACGTAATATTGCGGCTAGCATCACTTCAACGACGCAATACTGCAGTCGCTCTAATTTCTGCGCTTCGACTTCGTTTTTACAATCTACAATATTGCTCTTTGAAACCGGAAGATCACTCTATTTTGAGCTTAAGATTCTGATTCGAATATGATTAGTTTTTCTCCACAGATATGAGCCTGCTGGATGTTGGCGGACTTCCTCCAGAATTCTTAGAACCCGTCGAATTCGAGGAAGTTGAGCTGGTCGAGGTTCGTTTTTGTTGTGGATTCCTGTAATATTTAAACAGTCACCAGACTTTTTCAGAACGACCTAGATTTGGATGGAGGTGATGGATCTGCTGCAGTTGTTTATGTTAACAATGACAGTGATAATTTTGTTCCTGAAGAAGTTTACCAATGGGCAGACGGAACAGTCACAATTGAGAAAGTTGTTGACAACGGAGAAGAGGTACGACTTAGAGATTCCCTCTAACCTTGGTCCCGATACTTTCCGGTATTTATTTGTTTTTACCTGATGGCTATGCATACATTTGTGTTATGATTTGTAATACAGATTACATTTGCTGCTAAGTTGACGCTTCCAGGTTGCTCTTCAACCGTTCATTGATGGTGAAGACACAGTTTATAACGATCCCCAGTTTGAGTGAGTTGATATTTCCTTCCATTGATTCTTAGAAGCAGCTCCCTTGAGCAAGAGCATCTCTGCCAGGTTGACAACATCTGTTAAAGGCCTTCCTAAGGCTGGTGTCAGAGTCCGCGATCCGTCGCAGGTTTCGCTGATTTTCGCGATTTTCGCGCGCGATTCACGCGACGGGTCACGGAAATCACAAGTGCCCGATCAATACTGCAAGGTGTTCTCCAATCCTGCCGCCACTTCTGCTTGATAGTGATGGCTGAATGACGACTGCTCATGATTCCACTTGTTTCATATTCAGTGTTTCACACACTTGCTCCGTCGCAGTTTGCGAAATCATTGCGAAACCTGCGACGGATCGCGGACTTGCACCAGCCTAAGGACGTGGGCCGTCAAATCCTTACCCAGGCGAAGGGAAGAAAAGATCTCAATGAAGCTCGGGTTCGGGGTGCTACCGGCGGTTTTCCCAGTCAGAATCGACCTCAAAAGTGGCTTAGGTGAAATGTATTTATTTGTGCAAGCAAGCATGTACTGAGAGTAAGGAAACTGGGTCGTTGAAAACCAACAATTTCAAAGGGATATTTTCATCTCTTAGCTTGAGATAAGGTGGATATGGCCCAAGGCCGCAGTTATGGTGACTCGTCTGGTCGACACGGTCGGTCAGATACGTATCAATCATCTGGTCTTCAGACCGCATGGGTGACTTTTATCTCCTGCACTAGTACGCTGATGAAGTGCAAGACGGTCTCAAGACACTGCGTCCTAGGTTTTGCTTGCTCTCTGCAAGGTTAATGCATGCACATTGCTTGACAAATTTGGTTTCTCGGTTTTTTTCCTATCTTGGTCATACTCGTAGATATTGTATGATCCTAAACACATTTTCTAACTTTTGTCGGATACACCAACCGCCAGTCCACCAAACTCCTCAGACACTTTCTCTCACTTCTTTATCATTTTCATTGCTCAATTCAACTTTTAACTTTTACTACTTACTTCATTCGAAAAATGTCCGTATGCCTTGTAGTTTCGGTTTCTACTTAAGCTTATCTCAACATAATGAGATTGTGATCTTGGCATTTTTCTTTCAGTGATACATTTCTCATGAGCATACACCAAGGACTCCAAGAAACTAAACGTATCCTACACATCCAGCAGTGTCTTCGAGCCGCGTGTTTTGATTCGATTTTTGGGATAAACATCTGGCGCCTCTTTGTGTATTACAGCATTATGACGCAAAGTGCAACGTCGTAAGGTCGTATCATTGCTCTATTTCCTGTCCTTTTCGTGTGCTCATATCCCATATACTATGTACTTAGTTGCGGAACAAAATCCATCTGAGGCAAATGGAAGTGGTGAATTGCGCATTCTTCATTTTGATAGCTATTTCACTGCTTATCGGAATTGGTACTACTCATGTAACTTTAGGTACGAAGAAGATGTGGAGGTTGACGTTGAAGGACAACAATTCCTGGATCTAAATATTCCGGCAAACAACTCGAATCCTACGCATTTCGTTGATTGTGCGTTTCTCAAAAAGCATGTTGATTTTAGAAGAAATTCAGTGTTTCCAAATATATTTGATTGCTTTTCAGACGATGGTGTCGAGTATATTGAAGCCGGACTCTTTCCAGTTGCTAGCGAAGGTCTTGTGGATAACGATGTCATAACAGGGGAAGACACAATGGATGACGGCGAAATGTTTGACGACTGTGAAGCTTCAGGTGAATATGAAGCTGTGGCGGAAGCGGAACCTATGAACACTGGTCGCCGGTATGTGGTCGTGTTTTCCTACATTCATCATGTCAAGTGGATTTCGCCTGTTTGTCCTTTTCAATTTCGTGAAGTGGTGTGTTTCGCTAGACAGGAACCAATTTTTCCGCTTCTCGCGCGCGAAACGTTCCGTTACGAGAACCCCAGGTTCAGTCATGATTAGGGGTGGAACTGGAGTTCCTACAACGAAAAAGCTTCGCGCTGCGAAATGTGAAAAAGTCGCTCTCTGTCTGAGCAAATTACACCCCTCGTGAAGCACTGTATGTACACATATGTACACGTGTGTATGTGCGCAGTAGCGGTTAAAAGTCTTTGAAAAAAAACTAATTTCGATTCATTGTTCTCTCACCCACCCTGTTCATTTAAAAGATTGATATGTTGTGTCTAGTCTTTTGAATCTTCGATTTCTAAGGATCAGCGTTTCCAAAAGAAGACTCAATTTCCAAGTCTTTCCAAAATAATGTAATGCACGAAGAAGCGTTCCGGCGAGCACTTTTGACCGTTACCTTGTGCATGCATTTATAAGTTTTCCATCGTCCTGGTTGTCAATAATGGTCTTAGTCCTTCAGGAAACCGGCCACAATCGTGCAGTGCGAAATTTGTGGTGTTTTACTGAAACATCCGTCCAAAATAGAAGTGAGTTGGAGCTTTTGTCACATGCCTGTGTTTTGAATTTCGTTATTGTGTTACTTCTATTTGCCGGTTTTCATAGAGTTGTGGAATTGAGGCATTTACTTTTTCAAGGCCCACATGCGGACCCATACAGGAGAGAAACCTTTCGAATGCAATTTTTGTGGGATGAAGTTTACGCAACGCACTCCGATGCTCAATCACATCCGTCGGCATTTGGGTCAAATGCCATATACCTGTAGCTATGGGTGCGGGAAGAAATTTGTCAATAATGCCCAAAGAAACGCTCATGAACTGAGGCATCTGGGCACGGTGAGTTCTTTATCCAGGTTTTCTATCATTTCGGCAGTATAAGTGAAATTCGTGAGCTGATTGCTGTCCTTGAGAAACACTTGGTTTCAGAGTCAAGAGCTAGGAGTGTTTTTTGGACTTTTCATTCCTTCATTTTTCAGTCTAATTTTGCTGTGATGTAATGTTTTGTGTTGTGTTGTATTTATAACCGATAATAAATAATAATAATAATAATTTTTCGCAGATTTTATGTTCTCATTCTAATTTTAGTTCTAATATTTGGTGGTCATCTCATTCTAATTTTTAGTTTTCATATTTGATGGTCATCCTTATTTCCTATGTTACGCAGCAAAAGTCTGTTCATAAAAGCTTGGTTGTTTCAGAAACGGGCTGGTCCTCCTCGTCCTCATCTGAAGCCCCCTAAGCGAACTATCTCTACCAAAGCCCCTTCAAAATCTGATACGCGAGTTCGGCAGTCAGAAGAAGAACGTTCTACTATGGTTGATTTTGCTCCGTCTGTCGGTCAAATTGAACCAGCCATATCAGCAACAGCTAGTAAAAGGTGCGACTTGATCCAGAGTGAATTTCTTTCGGACTTTCTAAAAGATTGTCTGAACCTCTCGATCCATTTCTTTACGGCGTATTCTGAATCCGGCTTCCGATAATGAATTGCTCCGTTTTACTCAGCTTTGTACACATCTTTCAGATTGGACGAAATCATTGAGTCGGTAGTGTCTGGTGTCCCAATCAAGAAACGAAAAGTACGGCCAAGTAGAGCACCTATGCTTGTTCAATGCCAAATCTGTGGCTTGATGCTGAAGCACGCTAGCAAGATTAGGGTGAGTGTTATAGTGAAATGCAGGATGTTCTGAATCTCTAGAAACGCTGGAAACTTCTTTTTCTTCTTT